GTTTGTTGTACCAAAAAGCAATACCTTGCATTTATCCAGATTCAACTCCATCTGCCATTTTTCAGCCCATTGACCCATTTGATCAAGATCCCTTTGTAATCTTAGAAAACCTTCTTCACTGTCTACCATGCCACCAATTTTGGTGCCATCCACAAGCTACTAACCATGACTTCTATGCAAACTAACTAGCTGAAAATGCTTTAACTTAACCTTTATTCAAATTAACCATCATTCCAAAACACAATTTTATTGAGTCATTAAGTGTGATACCAAAGGAAGCAATGTTGAGATTACATGCTGAATGCAGTCAGTCGCTAACAAATCAGTAACACATTGTGGATTAATGGCTATCCTGATGATGATTCACCTTCCTTTTTTAAAAGGCTCAACAACTGCTCCAAGGTAAGCAATGATTTGTTTAAAGCATAAGAACTATGTTCAGAGAAATATTCTGAAAATGCGCACAAAAAAATTTCATGTGCCTTCATTTATAAAAATAAAAACATTTCAGAATTCTGCTTGCTTTTGAAAGAATGATGATTTGCACTTAAATTTGAATTACCCTTCTGCAATCATTGCACACCAGCCTCGAAAACAGTTCTAGAATTCCACTAAGGATCTGAATTGTGATCACAAGACTGTTCCTAGAGAGAAGGTGGTCATCTTTCTCAATTTAAGCAGGTCTGGTTGGAAGTGGTAATTGATTTCAGTAATTAGGAGTGCCTGGGCCCAGTGTTACAAGAAATTTAATGACCTTCTTTGTTCTGGTAAAAGGAGTACGAATGCAAAACCCAAAGGGCAGGTTACTACCTCCGTAGCCACCAGCACACATACCAGTTGAGCTGTACTCCTGGCCCACCTGAACATGGGAGAAGTGTGCACCTGGGGTATCACAGAATCATAGAACCCCTATAGTGCCAAAAAAGGCCATTTGGCCCATTGAGTCTGCACCAGCCCTCCCACCCAGACTCACCTCTCCAGTGCCCATAATCCACATTTCCCATTGCTACTCCTGGATACTACGGGACAATTTAGCACGGCCAATCCACCTAACCTGCACATCTTTGAACTGTGGGAGGAAACCGGAACATTCACTCGAAACCCATGCAGACACAGGGAGAATGTGCAAACTCCTCAGTCACCCAAGGTAGAACTGAACCTGGGCCCCCGGTGCTGTGAGGAAACAGTGCTATCCACTGAGCTACTGTTCCTGACCAGAGCTGCATCCATAACCCTGATGCTAAGGAGCTGGCAGTACGTACGTTTTTCATCTCATTTAGATAAGCTACTGAAATTGTTGGAGGGGGGAAGCATTGAGTTCTGTCTCTACCATTCTCTCAGTCTTGCCTTTCCACATAACGATAGGGAGATCAGCAGCATGGCATCACGAGGACGGTGTTGTAGGAGGAAGTGGATGATGGAGTGATGGGAATGTCTGTGCAACAGTATGAAAAGATAGGAAAGGGACAGAGCGTACTCCTCCATATCTGACCAAGTGCTAACATTTCAGCTGGAAGCCTCAGCTCTGCAAGCAGGGTCTGCTATCACAGATGCCTCATGACCTTCGGATATCTCCTATGGAGGCAGTTGTAGAGGCAGAACGTGACACTTCCACTGGAACAACACTAGGGCCTGAAGAAAACAAAAATCAGCAGACCCAGCATAATCTGTGACCTTCTAACGGAAGGCATTCTGACTATGTGGCAGGACTCCATGATGGAAGGTGCCTTTACAGTAATACTGTACAGCAATACAGCCACTGGCCACCTCCAAATCATCCTTGGTCATGGGGAGCATTGTGTAGGCACGGTTGAGAGTGAAGTTGAACACCTCAGGAAGAGCATTGAATGGATTACTGAGGTTTACACAATCTGCAACTGAACACACTGTTCGTTCACAAACCATACTGGAAATGTTGAGCCATAAGCTCGGGTGTGAAGTACAATTAACAGTAAAAGTAGAAACGATAGAACAATGATTGAAACAGGGCACTGCTTTTGAGGGCCAGTGCAGACTCGATGGGCCAAATGACCTTTTTGGCACTGTAGGGGTTCTACGATTCTGTGATACCCCAGGTGCAGTTGCAACGGATCTAATAAAGGATGGGTCTTCACAGGGTATGTTCGTACAGACAAGCCAAGGTGACTTAAGCATGCAGCACTACCAGATGGGTAGTGCTGAAATGAAAAATAGCATTGATGCCACTTAATGACAACTTTAACTCCAGAGCAATGACCAGCTACCGCTCTTATTTTCCCCTCATTGTTTTAAGGACACAAACACAACACTTTTTAAAATGAGTATTTGATTTGAGCTCCAGTAACGTCTGGAATTCGGAATTGTTCACTCTGAAAAATAAGGTTTACATGTAACAAATGAGCTGCTCAAACTATTTGGAACATAGTTAGTTACTGCCCTGAGTGAAAGTTGCAGTGCATTTTGCAGCTGCTTTTAAATAAATTGGATATCCCTTTGTTCTCTGGTGCAAATAAATGCACCAGATAATTTAATTCAGATAATTAGTTTAATTCAGATAATTCAGGCAACACTCCTTTTGGAATAGCAACAATATGGAAACAAAACAATTCTTGCCAGCAAAGCAACACTCAACACTTCAAAAAGTGCAGCTTAAACAGCTTTTCACTAACTTGGACTAACCAAGTTAAAGAAAACAATAAACCTATGACAGACTGTGTTCACCAAACCAGAAATTTCAACAGTTAATATTATGCCAGAAGGTTTTCTTTAAACTCTACCTCATAGTTAACTGATACAGTACCAATGAGGAGTTAAATTCACTCATTGGCAAGATAGCAACCACATATAGCCAACGGATTAACTACGGTGTATGGAAATAATTGATTAATAAAAATATACATCTGTCAAATATGCAATCAGAATGTGTTGTTGTATGACAGCAAGACTTGCAACACATCCTGCAAGCATAAAAAGATTAAAATCTTTCCACAACACCACCTCTTTGATCGTAAATAGAAGGCAATTCCTGACATGAAGGTACTTAAAGAAAACTAAATTGCTAATAATTTTCCTCAAACTGACAATATCCTGTGGCTTGATCATCTTTTTGGATTGTAGATGGTCATATTCTGAAGGATCAGCTGTATGGGGGACTTGCAGATGCTCCCCCAGGCTGCTGGGCCATCTCTGGCTCAGGTTTAAAGATCTGAAAACTTTTAACATCAATATTACAAGCTTCACCTTATTATTAAGGTGAGGTGCTGTATCAGGGCATTAAAAGAGATTGAAGAGAGGGGAGAGTAATGCACACCAGACTTCACGAGATGTTAATATTGTGTCAGCTTCTTCATCTGGTCTTGTGATATTCCTTTGCACCATCTGTCTCAAGGACTGTTGCTCAAGAAAGAGACTCTTCAGCCACTCAATATTGCAATGTAGCAAATCAACCAGCCCTCCTTGGCTTTCACACCTTCACTTTTCAAGATGCATGGTTGTCAGCAAGGAACAGAATAAGAATGAAGATTGATTACGAAAAATACTAAATGAAATGCCAAAAATAGGGAAGAGGAAATTTCTAAATCTCCATTTCCACTTGTGATTTTGTTCACTAGAAAAGTGACAGAAATTTCAGAATTAATTTAGTTTAATTTCTGATATGTCTGTTGTCACTATTTTCATTTTAATAGTTTGTCTTCACACATTGTGAATCTATTATCAGAACTGTTTTTGCATTGCATTTTTTTTTTTTTTTTTTAAAAAAAGTTCATCAGCTTTTGATAGCTTCCCAGGATAGTCTTTTTGAGAAAATAAAGTGACAAATGCAAGTAGGAGTCCAGTATGTGTGCACTTTCCAATGAGCATTCAAAGTGTCATCTTCAGGGAATATTTTCAGGAATTGTTGTACTAGTTGATTAAGACACAAGTTTGAAATATTAGAGATTAACCACACCACAACTACACATCAACATGTTGCATTGAATGCCACCTTTCACACAGAAAAGCAGCCCAAGACCCTTCGCAGAAATGTAATCAGATAAGAATATAGTCAAAAGATGTGTTAGTGGGGATGTTTTATTCCACTTTAAATTAAGACGGATAAAAAATTTAAGTCTAATATCTGGCTTGTGAACTGGAAATATACAATGTTTAAATCCTACTTTTCTAGGGGATCTATTTTGCTACTGTACATTATAGATGAAGTTAATAGCTCAAGATGATATTTTGGAGGGAATATTCTGTCATTTCAAGTAGGTCATTTACCATTTAAAAAAACACTTAGAAATAGGCTTCGATTACATCAAGTGCTAATGTCAAATAAGACAGCGTGGTACACTTATGGAAACTGACATTAGGTCACTTAAAAAGGAGAAAACTATGTTGGGAAATGCTTGAACTGCAATATGGGCCAGCTGCAATCAATCCAAAAGACACCAAAATCATGTGGTAAACTCTCAGTTCCAGAATTAACAATGTCCCACTATTCTTCAATAACTTTATTTAAATAAAGGTCCACGAAAGGAAATATATGAAAATCAACTGTCATTGAAAGGTCATGAAATATTTAAAGATGGCCCACTTTCACAGAAGAATCACGAAATGAATGCATATTTGGCAGTACGCTTATAAAATAGCGGATTCAGCAGACTGAACCCTTTCACCCACACTGCACTGAGATTCAGTTCCTGTGAACAGGAATCTGTGGGTGAAACCACTAAGAACAGACTGATGAGTAAGTTTTTCTACACAAAGCAGACTATAATGGAATTTGAGCATGTGAAAGAAAGCCACTGAGGACAACTACAGTTAAACGAAGGGGAAAAAATGTCTCTAATATTTTCACCTAACAGGCTTCAGAATTGTCTGGCAAGTTTCAGGGTAAATCCCAAAAGTAACAATTGTAATAAATCCATTCAGGAAATAACCAAATATCATAGTTGGTACAGAAGGAAAAAGTACACTGGTCAGATTCTTCCATACATCAGAAAGAAGGAAATGACTGTTTACATACAAATAACATGTACCTTTCAGTCACAGCTTGCATAAACTCATCCAAAAGATCATCGTATGCTCGACCTCTCACTCTCTTCTGTCTTAATCCAATATATAATGGATCTTTCAGCAGCTCCTGGCAGGACAAAAAAAAGAGTTTTAGTTTCCAGTCAAATCAATTATTGCAATCATTTTTAAAACTGTTTATACATTGCAGTCTTGTCTTGGGAATTGCAATTAATATCAAAAACAGGAAACCACTGATATCTCAATATATGAAAGTTTGATTTAGGCTGAAGAATTTAACCACAGAGCACAAAAATGACACAGACAGTACCAGTGCTTGATTTTTGTTTTGAATTCATGTTTAACACCATAAATTTACTAGTAGCATTTAACTACTCAAGTCAAGCTGTAGGTTCAAGTTTATTCCTGGAGTGGAGGACAAAGTCTGGATTGACACTTCAAAGCTGAATCGAGGGAAAGCAACATCACAGGAATTACTATCTTTCTACTGAGATGTTCAGCTGAAACCCCTCATTGCATGCACAACTGGGACTGAATAGAGAACCTGGATCATTTCCAGGTCTCAGCCCTGCAATGCAATTTTAATGTGCAAAGCCTCTGATTGGGCTGGAGCTAAGCTTGGCATTGTCCGAAGCAAGAACTGTTTCTGAATTCTGAAGGCCTAATATCAAGTGACAGCCATAACTGGGCTCGTCAATTCCTGCCTGCTTCAATCCGAAAGGTGATTAGAGGGTCAGCAGTGTCACAGTGTACAGAAGTAGCCAAATAATTAATAAGGCACCTGGATGGGTATATGAATAGGAAGGGTTTAGACAGATACGGGCCGAATGCTGGCAATTAGGACTAGATTAATTTGAGATATGTAGTTGGCACAGACGAATTGTACCAAGGGGTCCATTCTGTACATCCCTAGGACTCTAATTGCTGGTGTTATAGTGTTGTTGAATGAACAAGTAGAAAGACTGAAATTAGTTGACTGAATTACTGTGATCCACCTCTTCCAATGTAATCTTGGTTCACCAATAGCAAATTGATCGAGTTAAGCGAAGAGTTCCATGACCCAATCTACGCACGAACTCCTAATCTAAGTTTATGATTCTGTGAGGTAATTAGGGATCGCTGTATTATCAGTTATGTTGTCTTTGAGAATTAACTTGATGAGTTTATTTAAAGATAACGTACAAGTGTTGATTATATTGACTTTCATAAGGCATTTGCTATAATGCCACATTATAGACCTGCCAGAAAACTTGAAACCCATGGAAAGACATTGGTGGGGTGGATGTCTCAAACAGTGTTGAATGGTTGGTTTGTCATCTTTTGGACAGGAGGAGGTGGTACAATGAGATTTCCCTAAGGTCAGTAATGTAAACGGCCTAGACTTGCTGTACAGGGCTTAGAATTTCAAAAATTTGCAGATGAGGCACAATTTGAAATTGAGCGCTTAGGAGAATATTGATGGGCTTGAAGAGGACATAGGCATGAGGCAGATGGAATTCAAATGTAGAGAAGTATAAGGTGATGCATTTTGTCGAAACAATATAAAATCAAAGGTAAAATTCTAAATGTAAGATGTAGGAACAGACCTGCATGCAGCCATGATATAATGCTGCTGCAGTAAATTGTTGAAGAAAGTAATCAGTTGAATTAGGTTGCTCAAGCAGAGACATAAAACTATAATGAAGTTTGTGCAGAGCAGAGCAGTACGGATCCCTTGGTCCAACTCATCCATGCCGACTAGGTATCCCAAATTAATCTAGCCCCAAATCCTTCTAAACCCTTCCTATTTATATACCCATCCAGACGCCTTTGAAATGTTGTAATTGTACCAGCATCTACCACTTCCTCTGGCAGCTCATTCCATATACGCACCACCCTCTGCATGAAAACATTGCCCCTTAAATTCCTTCTAAGCCTTTTCCCCTCTCACCTTAAACCTACGCCCTCTAGTTTTGGACTCACCCACCGTGAGGAAAAGACTTGTCTATTTACCCTATCCATGCTCCTCTGATTTTATAAACTTCAAGAAGGTCACCTCTCAGCCTCCAACGCTCCAGGGAAAAATAACCCCAGTCTATTTAGCCTCTCCCTATAGCTCAAACCTTCCTATTCTGGTAACATCCTTGTCAATCTTTTCTGAACCCTTTCTAGTTTCACAACATCCTTTCTATTGCAGGGAAACCAGAATTGCACGCAGTATTCCAAAAGGGGCCTAACCAATGTCCTGAACAGCTGCAGCATAACCTCCCAACTCCTATACTCAATGCGCTGACCAATAAAGGCAAGCATACCAAACACCTCCTTCACTAGGAAATAGCAAGATAGCAAGAACTGCTGGAGGAACACAGGAGGTCAGGCAGCAGAGGAGTAGGAGTGTCGACATTTCAGGCCCAGACAATCCGACCCCACCAAAGAGATATTTCCCTCCCCACCCGTCTGCCTTCCGTAGGGACCGCTCACTCCGTGACTCCCTTGTTCACTCCCACCACACCCGGCATCTTTAACCGCAGCAAGTGCTATACCTGCCACTACGCCTCCCCTCTCACCCCCATCCAAGGCCAAAGACAAACATTCCACATTAGACAGGGGTTCACCTGTACATCCTCCAACCTGGTCAACTGCATCCGTTGCTCCCGACGTGCATCGGTGAGACCAAGCGCAGAGACGGTGACCTATTTGCAGAGCATCTGCATTTATAATCAACAGCACCTTCCGGTTGCTAACCACTTAAACTCCCACTCCCCTGGGTGACATGTCCATCCTGGGCCTCCTCCAGTGTCACAATGATGCCACCCGCAAACTGGAGGAGCAGCACCTCATGTTCCGCCTCAGGAGCCAACAGCCCCATGGCCTGAACATAGAATTTACCAGTTTCAAAATCTCACCTCCCCCCACCCAACCAGCCTCATCCCATGTCCAACCCTGCCTCCCTGACCTGACAACCTGTCCATCTTCTCTCCCACCCACCACAGGGTAGACTGGTTACATCACATAGAACACAAGGAGAAATTAGCCATTTAGATACAGAACTGGCCCGAAGGTAGAAGACAAAGGGTGGTGGTGGTGGAGGGTTGCTCTTCAACTGGAGGCCTGAGACCAATGATGAGCCACAAGGATTGGCTGCTGGGTCCACTGGTTTTCTTCATTTATAGAAATGATTTAGATATGAACGTAGGAGGTATGGTTAGTAAGTTTGCAGATGACCCCAAAATTGGAGGTGTAGCGGACAGTGAAGCAGGTTACCTCAGTACAATGGGATCTTGATCAGATTGGCCAATGGGCCGAGGAATGGCAGATGGAGTTTAATTCAGATAAATATGAAGTTCTTCCCACTGACCAATCCCCACCTCTCTACCTGCACTGACCTATCAGCATCCCACCTACCTTTCCCCAGCCCCACTCTTCCTCCCTCTATTTCCCAGCTCCCTTCCTCCTCCCTAGTCCTGAAGAGGAGTCTAGGCCCAAAACACAGACTCTCCTACTCTGATGCTGCCCGACCTGCTGCATTCCTCCAGCTCCACCCTGTATCAACTCCCCCTTCTTCACCACCCTGTCTACTTGCAACTCCAAGGAACAATGAATCTGCATTCCAAGATATTTGTTCAGTAAAACTTCACAGAACTTTACCATTAAAGGGATAAGTCCTGCCCTGATTTGCCTTTCCAAAACGCAGCACCTCATATTTATCTGAATTAAACTCCATCTGCCACTCCTCAGCCCATTGGCCAATCTGATCAAGATCCCATTGTACTGAGGTAACCTGCTTCACTGTCCGCTACACCTCCAATTTTGGGGTCATCTGCAAACTTACTAACCATACCTCCTACGTTCATATCTAAATCATTTCTATAAATGAAGAAAACCAGTGGACCCAGCAGCCAATCCTTGTGGCTCATCATTGGTCTCAGGCCTCCAGTTGAAGAGCAACCCTCCACCACCACCACCCTTTGTCTTCTACCTTCGGGCCAGTTCTGTATCTAAATGGCTAATTTCTCCTTGTGTTCTATGTGATGTAACCAGTCTACCCTGAGGAACGCCTCATTGAAATCCATATAGATCACATCCACCATTCATCAGCCTCATCAACCCTCTTACTTCTTCAAAAAAATTCAATCAAGTTAGTAAGACACAATTTCCCACATGTACAGCCATGTTGACTATTCCGAATCAGTCCTTGCCTTTCCAAATACATGCAAATCCGGTCTCTCAGGATTCTCTCAAATAACTTGCCCACCACCGATGTCAGGCTCACCCACCTATAGTTCCCTGGCCTTTTCTTAATTAGTGGCACATTAGCCAGTCTCCAGTATTCTGGCACCTCACCTGTAGCTGTCAATGATACAAATATCTCCAAGGGCCCAGCAATCACTTCCCTAGCTTCCCAGAGTTCGAGGGTACACCTGATCAAGTCCTGGGGATTTAACCACCTTTGTGTTTTAAGATGTCCAGCATCTCGTCCTCTTTAATAGGGACATTTTTCAAGATCTCACTATTTATTTCCCCATATTCTCTATCTTCCATATTCTTCTCCACAGTAAATACTGATGCAAAAATACTCATTTAGTAGCTCCCCCATCTCCTGCAGTTCCACACGTTGGTGGCTTTGCCGATATTTGAAGGGCCCTATTCTCCCCCGGTTACCTTTTTGTCCTTAATGTATTTGTAGAATCCCTTTGGATTCTCCTTAACCCTATTTGCCAAAGCTACATCATGTCCCCTTTTTTGCCTTCTTGATTTCCCTCTTCAGTATACTCCTACTGCCTTTCTACTCTTCCAGGGATTCACTAACACACGCTTCCTTTTGTTTTCTTCTTGACCACAAACTTTGATTTCTCTTGTCATCCAGCATTCCCTACACCTACCAGCCTGGTCCTTCACTAACAGGAACATACTGTCTCTGGACTCTCGTTATCTCATTATTGAAGGCTTCCCGTTTTCCAGCAATCCCTTCACCTACAAACATCCGCCCCTAATCAACCTTTGAAGTTGAGCATGACAACATTTGAAAAGGAATGTACTAATGGCAAACCAGTACCTTTAGCAAAGCTAAAGGTGTGCTACATGGAGTCCCTACAGTGTGGGCACAGGCCATTCAGCCCACTGAGTCCA